GTAGGTCTTCCACAGAGTATGTCTTCGTCAGAGCCACTGCGTACCTACTACGGTCGCAGGGGTCGCAACCTAGACCCAGGGACGTTTTAGCCGTGAGGCAAACAAGGCATTTGCCTTGGGTGGCATTTTCCAGGGGGCGGCAAAAAAAGCCGCCACCAAATGCTAACTGACATGCCAAATGGGCTGCTGGTCAGACCCAGGTGTCTGCCTGGCCCCAGGTGCCGACGGCCCACTGGGAAATTTCCCAGTATCCCGGTGGGCCAGTCCGGCCCTGTGAGTGTGAGTGTGTCTGTTAGTGTGTGTGTCTGACTGTGTGTGTCTGTTAGTGTGTTTGTCTGACTGTGTGTATGTGTGTATCTGTTAGTGTGAGTGTGTTTGCCTGTCAGTGTGTGTGTCTGTTAGTGAGTGTGTGTGTGTCTGCTACTGAGTGAGTGTGTTTGCTAGTGAGTGAGTGTGTCTGTTATGTGTGTCTGTGTGTGTCTGTTAGTGAGTGTGTGTTTTTCTGTTAGTGAGTGTGTGTTTCTGTTAGCTAGTGTATGCGTATCTGTCAGTGAATGTGTGTGTGTGTATTTAGAAGGCGGGGGGGGGAAGGGTTGGGTGGGGGTGGCGCGGAGGTGGGGGGAGGAGGGCGCCTAAGTTTTGTCCTGCCTAGGGCAGCACAAAACCAGGATACACCACTGCCTAGACCCCTGTGACCGTGGACTGCCTGGATACCTTATGGACCGGTGCATAGCCACACCGGCCCGGATCCGTGGTTCCCGGAGGTCTGGCAGGAAGGGAGCGCTGCACTGTGCTGCTCCCCTCCTGCCTGTGTGTAGCGTGGCCGAGCGGTCTGACAGGAAATGCTCATTGTTAGAGCACTTCCTGTCAGACCGGAACTGCGGCCAGTAAGGTACAGGAGGGGAGAGGGGAGAGAGAGGGGGTATGGGATGGGGAAGAAATGGAGGAATATGGGACACCTGGAGGGAAGGGGGAGAAATAGAGGGTATGGGACACCTGGAGGGGAGGGGGGAGAGGGAACAATGGGAGACAGGGGGATGAGGGGGGAGAGAAAGAACAATGGGACACAGGGAAGGGAGGTGAGAGAAGGAATAGATGATGGCAATTCTTATAGGAGTGGGTTTAATTTTGCGGACAGTGTTAACTTCAAAGGAAGTAAAGGATAGGGTAGGGAGGAGAAGTTGAAAGGTACATTGAGGGGAGAGAAGGATGCCTACACCACAAAAGGAAAACAAAAATATTCAAACCCTTGTATAGCTAGAGTGGTTGGTTGTGGATGCTGCCTGGAGTGGTGAGGTGAGAGTGACAATTTAGGTGTGTGTAATACCCAACAATAATAGGTGTGTAATCTCTCTGGAGTTATGAGTGTGTTTGCAACCCAGCAGTTTTTGGTTGCAAATTTTGGCAGAAAAACCTATTCTGTTAAATAACTTAATGACAGAAGGAGACTTGTTTTGTAGCAAACAAGTTTAAGTGCAAACTACTGTATAACGTAAAGCTGATCACGTTCTGGACATACTTGGGTGCGTGAACACTAACGCTGGCTTTTTGGGTACGTTACTATATATCCTTGATGGCCATACTTTAAGAAAAAAACCTTTTCTATATGTGATTTTGTATGATATATGTTTTTTGCAATGGTTAGGCCACAAGAAGATCAATAAAACACAATTTTGAGAGGTAAATAACAGCAAATAATAGAGGTGTGTCTGAAAGACTTGAAGAATAAAGCAGTTTAAATCAATTAGCTACTTGAGGCAGTCATGCTGGTTCCGTAAAAAGAAGACACTTGTTTCTGTACAGCACTTTCTCTAATGTAAAATACTTTTCGCCATAGGGATCGCATTTTAAATATATTTCTGCGGCATTGAAATCTAGCACAGTGGTTCCTGATGTAAACAGACAAATGGAAATTAGTTGTAAATTAGAGATAGAACAAATGTTTCACTACAATTCAAGTTCGAAAAAAGAAAAAAAAAAATAGATTCTTTTTTTTTCTTCTGAAATATCAGTGCAGAAGACTAAATGTATCAGCCCAAAAATCACGTTTCTTCTGTTGTAAACCATAGGAGGTATCTCAAAGCTTTTTGGGAGTGAGGCACAACGTGAGAGCATTTACGATTTTTTTTTTTTAATTAGTTTATGCCTACGGTGGGACAGGGCCGGACTGGGAATGCAAAGCAGCCCTGGAAAATAATGTATGCCAGCCCTATAAGTCATTGTGCCACGATAGTATTTGCGCGTGTGTATGTACATATGTGTGTGTCTGTGTATAATATATATATACACACACACACACACATATATATATACACACACACACAAACACAAACGTGGCACAATGACTTATAGTCCTGGCATACAATGACTTATAGTCCTGGCATACAATGACTTATAGTCCTGCCATACAATGACTTATAGTCCTGGCATACATAGATACATATTTCATATATATAAAATGTATGTTTATGAATTAGAATTACTCAATCTAGGGTAGCAAGACGTAGCCATATTTTAAATTATAAAGGGATATTTAACACTTATTTTGAGAGAGACACCATCGAGAAATTTGAAGATTGGTGGTACCCCTGGAAGAAATATTTAGACCATCTAAGGATGACAATAGACGGATGGCTCTTTTATGGATTCTCTCCCTTCCCCACGAATGGCCTCATACCTGTCTATCTGTTTCTTCTCTTCTTTTCTGTTCTCTCCTTATTCTGTCTTTCGAATGACTGGGATGCATGAATGATTGTTCTTATACTCACGGTATATATAATACATGTAATTTCGCTTCTGACATTTAACATTGTACTTTTAAAATTGATTATTTGAAATTTGTTTCTAGAAGTGTGTAACCAATATGAAATTTTCGTGTGACGAGGCCAATAATATTGTGGGGCACACTACATACAAGGATTTGCAAGGATTTAACTAATACTGCTATGATTTGGTACCTTTACTTCTGTTTTATGGAAAGGCAAAACATTATCCATTAGATTTCATTTAGTCATGCCAGGTGTATGTTGCAAACAGATTGCCATCCTAAACAAATATTAATTAGGCGTGATGATGGTTATTGAAGAGGACGTTAGGTGATAATTTACAATGTAGATATGGTTGATTTAAAAAAACCAAAAAACAACATGCCCTTCTACTGAAAGCAGTATTTTGGGGGATTGGAAGAAACTATGTAATATGGAACTTAATTTAACCCCTTAAGGACCAAACTTCTGAACTTCTGGAATAAAAGGGAATCATGACATGTCACACATGTCATGTGTCCTTAAGGGGTTAAGCAAGAAATGTTGGTTACGATTAATATCACTATTAGGATTTAAGGGGTAGATGTTTTACGTGGGAAACATAAGACAATATCATACTCTTGACCTCAAAGATAAAAAAAAGTTCTTTCAGATAAGATCTATAAGAAGGCTGTTGATAGATGTTCGATTCCCCTCTCAATCAGTAATTTTGTAAAAACCTTCTACAGGATTACACACACACAGACACACACAAAAAAAAAACAAAAAAAAAACTGATTTTATGTTACCTTCAAATACATCTAGATACATTCTAGAAAGAGGATTTTTAACAAAGCTGCAGATAAAAGTCTAGTATTTGCCTCTATAGCATTTGGTAATATCCTTCTAGACTATTAGCATTTTATGTTATTTTTCACAAACTTATTTTTTCTCACAAAAATGTGTAAAAATTTTTTTAAATTACAAGCAGTCTGTGATAATTTATCTGGCATCATTTAGGAGGACAATCGCCTAGTTTACCATCTCTCATTTTTTCATACTCCCATCTAAATTTATATAATGTCAAACTGGAGCCTGTCAAATTAACCCGAATTGAGATTGGACTGAACAACTCTTCTTGTCTGAATGAAGTCCATTACAATTTCCAAATTAGTTCTAAATCAAACAGATAAGTTGTCTATTTCTTTTATTCTCTTTTAATACCTTTATATCTCCCTGTAGTTTTTATTCTCTACCACTACCTAATATAATCTCTTTATCTTATTTCTTTTAATTTACTTTACAGTAGTAATAACATATCTCTAAACCTCAGAGGATAGTCGCATATCTCACGCCAAATAAAAAGTACTCTGACTATATTCTAAGTCCGAATAATAAAGTATGCTCATTCGGGATGGCTTCATATGGTCAAAATGATGAAACACTAAAATATATATTTTAAACACAGGTAGTTTTTTTTTTCCATTTTTGGAATTCAATTGTACATCTACCTTTGCATCTCATAGTCTTAAGCAATCATAGCGAGTCAGACATTCATCACCAACATGGCACCTTTAGATTTTGCAGGCAGTCAAACAATTTAATCATAAATCCTACAAGGTGACAATTACTGAACTATTCAACTTTTGTATGCTTTAAGAAAAAGGCTCCTCATCCCTTTACTAGATCTCTTAATCTGTCACTAGATCTTTCTCAATTTATCGGCAGTTATCTACAGTGGGTTAGAAGTATTGACAAAAAAAGTAATTGTGTGAATATATAAGAAAGAAAAAAAAATTCTATTTCATAATGGTTTCTTTTTAATCGTCGGCAATTTCTCCTCACATTTTTTTTTTTCATTTTACTTTAAAAATAAATATTGTTTTATGCTCTGAGTCATTTGAGAGCTCGATTCTGTCTCCAGTTAGAGCACTTGTCAGCTGCTCCAGACGACAAAACTATTTAAACAAACCATGAGGCAAGAAGCCAATGTTGGGTTGGGCTTAAAGTACATTGTAGATCAAAGAAACTAAAGTGAAGATTAATACCCACCTCTGTGGTCCACCTAGTTCAAATCCATGGGTTCGTAAGTTAGTTACTCCAACACACACAGAGCAGTATTAGTCATCCTGATATATTTACATTTTCTTAATCTGCTTCTGTTTGCCCTGAAACTAGAGATTCCATTTGTCGTTTTTTTGGAGCAAATTATATTTGGGATATGACACAGAGTGAATAGATGGGAGAGACTCAAAACGACCTCTGCCACAGTCTCCTCTATTAGTCGTAAAATGTATGTGAGTAGAGGATTTTACAGCTAAAACGGCTAGCAGGGTTGTACTTAGCCACACAGAAATAGTATCCATTACAGTACATGCACTTAAATGCTACCTTTTCTTATATGTATAATGCTATTCCTTAGTGTACTTAGGAGCTAATCCTGCTTTTTTTTATTGATTTGCTTGTCTCTAGCAATTAGTACTTAAAGAGTATATATAAAAAATTTATATATATTTGACAGACACTGTTACATTTTGTAGAGAGCATGTTACGTTACAGAAATATTTCAATTTTCTGGTAGAGCTTTATAACAGATGCATAGGCCATGTGGCAAACCAGCCAAGGACTACTTGATGTCCAAATGTTTTTAGATTAGAATAATGCCCAGCATGGCAAACCTGACCAGTTTGGTACATTTAAATAAAATTAAAGAGTCCTTACCTTTGCTGGCCATCTCCGTCAATGGGTTCTTTGTCCAGGCGCAATTGCTTGGCAGGAAAATCACCAGATTGGAGGTCAACACATGTCTGTATGAACATATTAAATATATGGTGCTTAATATATAGGCAATATTCAACTGACATGTTACAGAGCCTTTTAATTTGGCTTATTTTAAATGGACATTCTAAGCCCCTATATCACTTCAGCTTGCTGAAGTGCTTTAAGGGTTACTTGTATACCCTCCCTTGTTTCAGTTTATAACATTGCCCATTTTGTCCTGTGCATGAAAAGTTCCATAAATGGCAATTGGAAAAATAATGAGGGGGGTGGGAGTTACCGTTGGAAGTAGATTTGCAATGAAAACACTTAAAAGCTTAATCCTTTATAGTACCTTTCCTGTAATATGTAATATGCACTATTGGGCAATGTGGATATCCCCTCTCCTATTGCAGTAAAACCTGCAAAATAAGCATTTTATCTACCTGGAACCCAGTGTCAGGCTAAGATCCTGGTGCTGACTTCCACACCCCATCCTGATGTTACAGAGGGCCTCACCTGGTTCACAGGCTTCTCATATTGCATGTGCACTGAACTGGTGAGGGGAGGGGAGGAGGAAAAAAGGGTGGGAGGGAGAATTACATATTTTAAAAAAAACAAAGTAAGTAGCCAAGGGAGGTGAGAAGACGTGTCCACAGGGTGGGAGGGGAATACTATCTTCCTCTTGCAGGCACTCTTGCCTTCAAGGTGGAAGATTATCATGTCTGTTGCCAGCCCTGACAACAGATGCCCAATATGCACAAAATTGACATTAACAGCGCGGAACAGAGTTCTGTACTGCCTAAGTAATGTGTTGTCAGGAGGTGGCTTAGGCCCAACACGCATAATCAAGTAAACTCGATAACCGTATTACCGGTCCTCAGAATGGTCGGACTTAACATAGAAAGTATAGTCAGAAACAAGTCAGGGGTACAGACAGGAGCAAAAACGAGAAGACAAAGCCAAAGGGTCAGGGATACCAGAAATACGGATAATAAGAACAAGCCAAGATCAAAAACTAGGAATCAATAAACCAGACGCTCTCGGATAACCAAAGAAGTGGCGAGGATAGGACAGGGGACAGGGCAAAGAAGAAATAAAGAAATGGGCTTATATAGCCCATTTAATAACTCAAAAATAACTCAATAAGTACAGTGTTTTGAGCAAATCACTGAAGTGGTCATGGTCATTGGATTAACCCTTTAAGTGAATTCCTACATTCATGGAGACTGTGAGCATCAATTCCATAGGAGGGTGCTTGTCTGATCTTATTGCAGTCATGTGATGCACATAGCCAGTGAAGGAGATACCAGAGAGAATCGAGGAAGATATAACCGTTCTTAAGGGAAAGAGACAAAGATAACCTACATACACTGTATATTAGCTGGCCTTGCTTTGTAACTTTGTATATCTAGCCTTTATATATTTTTTTTTTATTTTTGCTGTGCACATGGTTACAAACAAGCTGGCAATGCCATGATTTCAAATGCAAGCACATTAAAATAAACAGTATCATGGCATGCGATAAAGCTGCACAATTTTACTTTATAAGAAACAAGCTTGGTCGATGTGAGCAGAGTATAATATAGTGTCAAGGCACAGATTAACACTCAGTAGGTGCTGCATAGATTATGATGAAAGTAGAGAAAGCATATACAAAACATAGACATTCCACCCGCCTCATTATTGATAAATGACATCAAGCAACAAATTGACACTATACAATTGGCTCATACAAGCTTGATGTTGAAATGTTTAAGACACATTTTTTACTCCTCCAAAGGGAATAAAGCCTCAGCGATGCTTGCCTCCAAATTGAGACATAAAATGGCTCAACCTAGGATTGAACAT